AGTTAATGTTCAAGTTCACATGAAGGTATTCCCCTAACTTTTATCGTTTGATCAGGTCACCAAGGCCGCCGAAAAAGCCGCCAAGAAGAAGTAGCTATGCAAGAATCTGTGTGCAGCACTTGAATTTGTGGAATCGATACATTGTTCTGATACAAGGTTCTGTTGCCAAGAAATTAGCCGTGCGTTTGAATCGCGTTCTGCAGCCGATGTGAAGGAATTGTTCCATTCAATGCCCATACTGTCATTGCGCCTGAAGCGGAGCTTTCACAGAAAAATGTTCCGCAGGAAAAACTGGTCGATGATCAATTTATCCTTTTCTCAGCTCCCCCGTGTGTTTCTTGACGCTCCAACTTTGTGGACGAAAATTGTTGATTCCGTTTCATGTTGCGTTTCTTGCTGAGCTCATGCTTGTTTCCGGTCTGGGTGGAATAAATACTTGAAGGAGGAAAGAACTCTGTATTCACGAATGGTCGGGAATTCCCAAGTCTCGAATCCCAGGATTCTGCATTCGATTTTAATATATGTTTTTATTTTTCAGACTAAGTTGAGACTCTCTTATTGATGGGGATCTACTTGTAATGGTTACATTCGCTTTGGAATGACGTGCTTTTGTGGCAGTGGTTTTCTGTTGTGTGTGTTGTTCCGGTCAGAAGTTGTGTGACTCTGTAATGGAATCTTAGGCCCGAATTGCTGAACTTCAATTCAGGAATCATTGCCTAATTCACGGTAGCTTACCATGTTTATTCATTTTTCAACATGTTTATCCACGAACCTATCTATAGTTTCATAGCACGAGCAAGGTTAAAGATCTTCAAATGATGATTCTGGTAGGTTCTTTCATTGTCTTCCTGCCACGTGGAAAAATCTGGAGTACTTCATCTGGGATTTTAACAATTTTACATTTTGCTTATGCTCATGACGAGGTATTTAGCACTGAAATGTCAGCAAATAATCAGTACTGAGACGGAGGAAAAAGCAGTAGCAGTAATCATTTGGCAAGAAAATTTGATTAACGTAGTAAAACATTTTTTCAATTCAATTTTCAATAATGCATCAACAAAGGCTTCTACTCTAAAGGTTACAAAGAGATAAACTTTATTTCAATGCTAGGATGACAAACTATGTTCAGAGAAGGAGACTTTCTCGTCAGGTGCGGCAAAGGCGATGTATTGTACTTCCATTAAATGAATGCCTCTTGACGGGCTTCAACTTAACACGGCATATAGAGTATTTTCTGTTCAATATGTGGGGAAAGTTTTCTCAGTGCCATATTACTGCATGACTGCTTTCATTCCCTATACAGCAGCAATATCAACTAGACACATTCAACAAATATCAATTTGTAGATGATGTGATATTTTCCTTCTTATTTTCGATTTTGGAAGATGTCAAGATGCAATTTTACACTGGTCAAAATGTCATGATTACTGTACTTTTTTTTAAGCTGGAAAATCAAATCACAGCTTCTTCTCTTATCCTGCAAATTCACAGCTGTACACATGAATGTATCACATCTGCCCTCAGTATTGCATCTCTTCATATCAATATAGCGCAGAAAACACAATATTTTCTGTCTGGTTACAGCTACTGCGGTGGACGGACTTCTCGCCGGAGCTCATATGTGAGCTGCCGAATTTACGCTGCTCCCCCTTCCCCCTGCCTCACTCCCCAGTGAATGGGTTACTTAGATTATTTTCATAATGATTTCAGCAAAGTAGATCAGCATCAACAGAGTTACTGGTGTTAGGTCAAGTAGTGAAATTTATTTTGAAGCATGAGTGCACTGGGATGCATTTCAGATGGTATCTCTTTAACCCCTGTCACCCTGTGTATATGCATGACATATAGCCTTCAATGGATTGGCATGCACTTACAGCACAGAGATGATAAGCACTGGATCCATACTGTATAGGTCCTTACACTTTATTTGAGTCATATTACTCACTAAAATATCAGTTCAGTTGCAAGCTAGCTGTTTCAGCTACTGTTGGACAAATCTATCAGTTGTCTGCATAGATAACGTTCGGATGAAAACGCTTTTGAGAGCCATCAGGATGTAGTAAACTACTGTATAACCATCTACAGTATTTAATAATTCTTCGAAACGTTCCTCGAGCTTATTTCAGAAGAAAAAGGTTCAACAGCTCTGCATGTTGGGCACAGTGAAAATCTTAATGTCAGCCAAGGAATAGTGATGGCTTCAGATTAAAAAATAAATATTGTGTGGAGTACCCATCTGCTTGAGTCTGGGGTGGTGAGGTGTTCAGAAGAAATTCCTGCTGCTCCATAATTCATAAAACTCATTCTGGCTTTTAAATATCGTATGTTGACCCTCTAGTAATATCCTGAGAAAAATCTGCTGAATTCCATGAGTTCTAAAACAACTCAGGATGAGCTGAAGTAATCCCACAGGCAACGAAATGTTTTAAATGATCAGCAGCTCAACTATACAAAAAGCTCCTTTATATTGAAACAGCACTGCTCACTGTATATTCTGCAAGTACAGTACAGTATTTGAAAAAACGATTCGGTTCGTCCAAGACAACCTGACACGAGTTCGATGTTTTACAATGAAGCACCGTTATTCCATGATCATGGTCATATGATCATTATCTACCTCCAATTGGAATGAGATGTACAGTACTGCATTGTCTGGAGTACTGTATTGTACGCTGTCCCTACTGATGTGCAACAACTTGGAGGTCAGCGAAACGCGGATCGAATACTTCGCGAGGAGAACATGGCGCTGCCGCCGGTTTAGAGTATCCATTCCAGGTTCTGCGAAATTCCCCACTTCATCTGTTGCCTTCCTCGTGATCAGTTGTGAATCAAATCTTCGATTCGCACATCGGTTGTATCTCCAACCTAACAACTTCTGACAGCGAATAGTAGTAATGTCTGAATGATGCGAACATTTGTTGTGCTGCCATGTTATTGCTAAAGTTGATCTTTTCGGTCTCTGTTTGTGACTGAGTGCTTTTCGATAATTGAGATTATTAATTTTTCGGGTTCGTTTACTTCGAAAGGGTGTCTGTTTCCAGTGGAATTCTTGAGTTCTCTGCATTCCCGACTCTCATAGCGAAAGAGCAGTGAGTTTAGCGAGGTTGACTTTCCATTCAACATGTCTAATGTCTGTCTTTTCTTCAGGCATCATGGGAAAAGAGAAGATTCACGTGAACATTGTCGTCATCGGGGTACAGCTGAGGCCGTTCAGGTGCTGATGGCCGGTGAACTAGATGTTCACGCCACCTTAGCTGTTCTCTTGTTAACTCTTTAAGCTCTTCCTTCGAGTCCTCCATACTCTTACTACACTACAAATGAGGGATTGGAGTAAGATGCATCCACACAATATCTACCCGTTTCCGAGGAAGTTCATACGCACCCAGGAGCTGTTTGACTTCCGTCTCGCGCTTGCACCATAGTGCTAGCTGTAACGGAACACCTTTAAACTTTGGCGGTTCAAAATGGTTACCATCATTGACGCACCTGGCCATCGTGATTTCATCAAGAACATGATCACCGGAACATCACAAGCTGATTGCGCAGTTTTGATTGTCGCCGCTGGTACCGGAGAATTCGAAGCCGGTATTTCGAAGAACGGACAAACTCGTGAGCATGCGTTGTTGGCGTTCACGCTTGGAGTGAAGCAGTTGATCGTTGGCGTGAACAAGATGGATTCGACCGAACCGCCCTACAGCCAGGTTAGCGAAGCTTTGTATTATTACTTTTAGTTTATGAAGATGATGTAAAATAAGGAGCTGATCAGCTGTCGTAAAACCTTCCTGCTGGCAGAAATGCCGGAACCCACGGGATTCACTTTCGGGTGTGACATGGTCTTACGATGGCGAAGCCATGGCTGAAAAATAGCCTTCGGAGAGGGACCGTCTGAAACGCTGATCAGTTGTTCTTCAGGAATGTTTTGTGCGAGATTCTTGTTCATTTGGAGTTTTCTACATTTTAAACAGGCCCGATTCGAGGAAATCGTCAAGGAAGTCAGTAGCTACGTGAAGAAGATCGGTTACAACCCGGACACAGTCGCCTTCGTTCCAATTTCTGGATGGAACGGTGATAACATGTTGGAGGTGTCTGAGAAGATGCCATGGTGGAAGGGATTCACCATCACCCGCAAGGAAGGCAAGGCTGACGGAAAGACCTTGTTGGATGCGTTGGACGCCGTAGTTCCCCCAGCACGTCCTACTGACAAGCCCCTGCGTCTCCCGCTGCAGGATGTCTACAAAATTGGTGGTATTGGAACGGTGCCCGTTGGCCGAGTCGAAACTGGTGAGTTTTAGGATTGTGTTTTTCTGGTGTGCGATGATTTAATATCCAGGGAACTTGTAGGACTCCTGAAGCCTGGTATGGTGGTGACATTTGCACCAGTCAACATCACTACTGAAGTCAAGTCTGTGGAAATGCACCACGAGTCTCTGACCGAAGCTGTTCCCGGCGATAACGTAGGATTCAATATTAAGAACGTATCTGTCAAGGAATTGCGCCGTGGTTATGTAGCTGGTGACTCTAAGAACAACCCGCCCACCCCAGCAGCAGATTTCACTGCTCAAGTCATCGTTTTGAACCACCCTGGTCAGATCATGAATGGATATTCCCCTGTGCTGGATTGTCACACAGCCCACATCGCTTGCAAGTTTGCTGAAATCAAGGAAAAGTGTGATCGCCGTACCGGTGAGTTCGTCTTTCTCGATTGCGAAAACAACATTGTAATTGTTCGGATGACTTGAATTCACGGTTCCATCTGTTCTCATATTGACCCATGTTCGTACGTTAAATGTTGCTAGACCTACGGGTATTTGTTCGTTCTTCATGGCTAGAAGAATCTTGACAATATTAAGAACGTATCTGTCAAGGAATTGCGCCGTGGTTATGTAGCTGGTGACTCTAAGAACAACCCGCCCACCCCAGCAGCAGATTTCACTGCTCAAGTCATCGTTTTGAACCACCCTGGTCAGATAATGAATGGATATTCCCCTGTGCTGGATTGTCACACAGCCCATATCGCTTGCAAGTTCGCTGAAATCAAGGAAAAGTGTGATCGCCGTACCGGTGAGTTCGTCTTTCTCGATTGCGAAAACAGGTAACATTAACAAGCCTACTGAACTTAAGTGCCAAGGTAGACAAGAGTATAACTGGGTACAAGCATGCAATTTACAACGATCTGGATGCCCATAAACAAGCAAGAAGTACCGATCTTCTTAGAACTGGATATTACGTGTATTATCGATTTGCTGTTCTATATGCATTCATTTTGGTATGTGACATGATGTGATTTACATGCTACCGTCTATACTATCGTTCGATTCTTCTGTAAGCAGCTTGGTTCAATATTATGCTAATTGAAGAAACCGTCTATTTTAGCAAGTCCTATCTTATTCTACTTTTCATGCTGATGGTCAGGATTAATCTTTTAAAAGGCAAAACTGTGGAAGAGAACCCGAAGGCGATCAAATCTGGTGATTCTGCTAAACACTTCGAGTAAGGAAGCTTCGGGTACACGCAACTTCGCATATGCTGAAAGGGAGGTAACCCAGCGAAGCGACAAGCACTGTACGCTGTCTGACAACGTCAACCACAGTAGTCCTCACACTGGGGCAAAGACGCCGGTAGTGGGAAGGTGAGTTAATGTTCAAGTTCACATGAAGGTATTCCCCTAACTTTTATCGTTTGATCAGGTCACCAAGGCCGCCGAAAAAGCCGCCAAGAAGAAGTAGCTATGCAAGAATCTGTGTGCAGCACTTGAATTTAAGTTAATGTTCAAGTTCACATGAAGGTATTTCCCTAACTTTTATCGTTTGATCAGGTCACCAAGGCCGCCGAAAAAGCCGCTAAGAAGAAGTAGCTATGCAAGAATCTGTGCGCTGCACTCGAAGTCGTGGAATCGACATATTCTGAAGCAAGTTATTGTTGCCAAGTTAGTCCTGCGGTGGAATGGAGATTTCAAGCCCTTGTGATGAAGCCGGTCTACCGAATTTTTGTTTTGTTGCTGCGTTTGAAGCGCGGCGCTCATAGAAAAATGTTCCGCAGGAAAACTGAATGGTATTCCGTTTTCGTGGCCCCCATATGCATTTCTTGACGCTTCAACTTCGTTGATGAAAATTGTTGATTCCGTTGCTTCGTGTGTTTCATGCTGGGCTCGTGCTTCGTTTCTGGTTTGGGTGAAATGCAAAATTCGATGAAGGAAGGACTTGTTCTGTCAGTTATTCCTCATGAATTTTTGAGCTCCTATTAATTCTTCATTTGTTGCAGGCGATTCTTACCACTCGAGGTACCTGAACAGCATTAGCTGGTAGCATGTGTACTTCACCAGTAAGCTCGACGAAATCATGTGCGGCTCGCTCGAATCCTGTGGAGATGAGGTAAACTATCTTCTGTCACTTAATTGGCATTATTTGCCGATACACGGTCGAGATGAAATTTGAAACAGATATCTCGATTTTTTTTATCATGAGAAAATTGAATCCGAATTTAAAACGTTATTGAAGGACATGGTTCTCTTGATGTTATTTTTTCTGGTCCTTATGTTCATCTGCTGTCTTTCTGAATAAATAATGGCACAGGTCTTCGTAAACTGGTTGTACATGGAAGGTGCAGTATTCCGATGCCCTATTGCCGATTTTGCGGGGAAGTACTGTCGTTTTTTCCTTAAAATCAAACTGAAATCTTGTCCGTTTCTGACGTAAACTCGTTCCGTTTTAACATAGGAACATGACATCTGTCCTACGTCTGACAAGAGCCGGCATATCGCAAAGGTACGCATAAAATTATAGCATAGTGCTTATGTACACATGTACTGTACTGTAAAGCTGTTCATATGAGGGCAGTAAAATAATTTCATAAGTTTGTGAAAATTGTGAAACAAATCTGTACTGAAAAAGGATGGCCGTGAGGTTTTTTTCGCTTACAATATTACACAAAATTATTATAACTTCATTTGCAACGAAACTAATTATTGATCCGTAAGAATAAGGAAAAAATTTCCATCATGAAAACGTTTCCACGAATTCAGTCTGAAGTACGGAGATTTATAAATTCTCGTACAGTACTGTAGATGAGAATCATGCTAAAGTGCTGCTGGCCGAGGCGGCTCGGTGAAACAAAGTTCGTAAGGCGAGTTATATCATTTTTTGGGTTCGTTGGGCGAGGAACGATGAAGTTTTTCTTCATGTTGTTCTTTCAGTGCATATTATATCGCAGGACTTCTAAGAAATTGATGAAATATGCTCCCTGCTGATATACTGCTGCATGAAGTACAGTGTATGCTGGTCTTCCCGAACAACGAAATTGGATGGACGTATTGCAGCGTGTTCTATACTTGGATATGGACAGCTTCCTGTGCGAGATCCTAGGGGTACGTGGGGTTGTCGTCCAGCAGCAGACGGTTTGCGACTCCCAGCATGCCATATTGCCAGCAAGGTTTGATCAATAAATATTATGGGAAGTTTTATATATATATATAAACCAGCAGGAATCGTTCCCTATATATGGGCTGGATATTCCTGTATCCATGGGATTTTTCTTTGCAGAATGTCCTCAGCATAGCACCGATTGAGGGCTGATTTATGCCTCTGTCCCTGATGCATGCGGCTGTGATACGTATAGTCTTGGATATTTACGTTCCTGTGCCGATGGCCGCCTCTTTTGATTCGTTTGACGAGTGACTTCAGTTTCTTCGTGAGTCAAAACCTCTAGGCGTCTCCCTACGATTTACTACTCCTTTTAACGTACTTAAACGCCTGACACAGCACACAAACACAGATATGCAGGCGTTTGCACTACGTTGTCCAAAAGCCACAAGCGAGCCACGACCTTATCTAGGGGGTTTTTTTTCACTCCTCGTATGCAAAACTACGGTATTTCATTTGCCGTGTATTTCTAAATTTCCCGGGATAATTTACAGCAGGTAGTGATATTCATATTTTCTGAAACGGTTGGAACACCGCTAAAGCAATGATTAAGATGGATTTTTTTTCTGAAGCATCCCAGCGCAAAAGGAACAATTAAGAAATTTATGAAAAGTTTCAGCAGTGATCTTCGTGTTTTCGTTTCAGTGATCAAGAAAACAGTAATTTTTGACGGCTCTGAGCAGGGTTTTGCTCATTTTTATTGAATGATACTGTACTGTGATGCCCCAGCACCACTGATATGTAAGTTTGTCTAATGATTGAATAATCATGGACTTCGCTCCGATTATCCTGCTATTAAGTCAATCCGGATGTTTATATATGCTGCTGGTGTATGTGATTTATGTACTGTATAACTAAAATAAGTCAACTTTTGAGATACTGTAGGTTTTTTTTAAAGAAAAGGTATATAAAGATTCGGCGAATGTATATTGACAAGAAAAAGTAAGTTGTTTCCAAGTAGATTAGCATCAAAAATATGCGATAATCATATTTATCCAGATGCGGTTTTTTTTAAGGAATTGGCTCGTCCATATTTCACTGACACTGAAATGAAAAAAAAAAATTCTACCGAAATCCTTCGCAGATTAATTACTGTAAATTTTACTTTTTGCTGGGTTTTTTTAAATTCTTGACTATAATTGTTAACTGAAACCTGCTAAAACTAACGCGAAATTAAAAGAGAATTAAAAAAAATATATTGGTGTATTTTGTGAAATGCACCATAGTGAACATCAAAAATCACGAGTCAGAATTATTTTATCAATGCCTTGGAATAAATATGATGCGGATATATTGGAATAAATATGATAAGATATTAGAGACTTATCTGGCTGCGTATTGCCTCTTTCAGCTATTTTATTCCCATTTTGTTTTTGTTCCCATAGGTAGAATTCTAATCTCTCTTCTGTTCATTTCCGTAGACATGCTCTTTTTTTGGCCCTCATTGTTTTTAAGAGGATTTAAAAATAGCCACAAATTTCTTGCTCAAATAATAAAAATAAAACTGGAGCATCTATGGGTAATTCATATAATTAGCGGCAATAATTGAAGAAAATAACTCCGAAACGCTGTTATACAGGACATGATGGTTTTTGTTTTTGCATTAGTGCATATTCCTTTTTCGAAGAATTTCCGGTTTCCGGTGGTGGTTTGCTCGATAAAACGTAAAGTTCCGCTCAAGACATAAAAACAGTGATCCTTATAAAGGTGGGTTCCTGCGTACTAACTCCAGTACACGTCGTAAAAAAAAATTAACTCATGGAGTACATATGAGCGGTGTTCCTGAAGAATCAGTTAAGCTGTAGGAAAGAAACAATGTCAACCGCATGCATGCACTTAAATCCATGAATCTCGAAATGGATTCCATGTAAAATGAGTCCAATCAGCCCCGGGTATAGCTGGTACAATAATGAAACCAGGCCGCGATGAATAATTACTGTCCGTCTCCAAGCAAAAATTATCGGCGTTGATCCATTTCGCAGGTGTATTATACCAGCATATATCGAGGTCATGGACTCCTGAATTTTATGCACAACCTCCGTGTTTGTGCAGTACATGAGCAGCCAATTTCCTTGACCTGCCTTTTTTCGTCGTCGATTCTCTGGGCTATTTAGTTCCTGACCTCGCACGAAACACGTCTTGTCATCCCGAAGCCATCGCGGTTGTGTTTTATTGTGCTGCATGAAAGATGTGTTGTTGATTTCTAGACTCGTATCTCAGAATGTTTCTTTTATATTTTATTCACGTGTATATATTTATTTTCTAATGTTTTTCCCTTGCCTTATTTTGAGGTTGATGTGTGATGCGGACTGATGGAGCTGTTTGGTGATTAGGATCCGTTTGCGTGTGGCTGCGTATGGGGTAAAGAAGGCAATGACTTCGTGGCCTCAGTATGCGTGGAACCCCTGCTGAGAAAGGTTTGTCTCATGTGTTGTATGTACCAGTGTTACCCAACCTGCAGACCAGCAAATTCCCATAAAATATTTCAGGGACCAGCAAATGTTGAGAACATTTTCTGAAGACAGCAAAGTTTCATAAAATTGTTGCAGACTCAAAAAGTTTTGTTTGGAAGACTTGGTAGCAAATTATTGAGAAGGTTTCTGCTTTTTTTTTTGTTGCAAAAATTGAGGTAAGAACCAATCAAGCAACTGCAGTGAAATGTCTTGAAAAATTAGAATGGGGGGCTTGAGTACAAAAGATTTCTCAGCATGAAAAAACTGAAATAGATTTGAATTTTGATAAGTCAAACCTCCCCAAGTCAAATACAGTTTCTCCTTAAGTTGAATTTCTTTCAAGTCCCTGTCTGAATTCCCTTATAGAATTAATGGATTAAAAACCTCCCTAATCAAAATCTTTTCCTCTAAAACCTCTGTAAGTCAAATTGTTCTGAGGCATTTTGGTGATTATTTCCTTGAAATATAAAAGAGAAAAGCAATAAAACAAATGATTTAATGCATCTTGAAAGGAAGTGAAAGACTGATAGAGCAAATGAACCCCTGTTTCCAAGTTCAGCAAGGTTTAAACTAATTAAGGAGCAAGTTCAGGCCCAGAATATCCTCCTTTACAATTTCCTGCGATTTTTTCACTTATTCTCCTCCCAACAAAATTGTTTGGTTCCTTAACTGGAAAGGAGGTTTTTAGTTTTGGAGGGTTACAACTTTTGAGGGATTAAACTTAAAAAGGGACCAGGGAACTTTAAACTGAAACCTCCAAGTTGACATTGAATAAAGTTGTCGGCACTTATAAAAAGACTTCGTTTATTGGGAGAAAAACCTACTTTCATTTTTCATCAGATAATTTCACCAGCTTTGATGTGAATGTCCTCCTGAAATTTTGGCTAAAGATAACAGAATTCATAGCTACTTTTGATGAAATTATTATTCTGAAGATGATTTCCTGCAGACCAGCAAAACAACTTTTGAGGACCAGTGCTGTTCCACAGACCAAAACGGTTCGGGAACACTGTTCAATACAAATATGTGCAATGGGGCATCAAGATGTGGACATAATTTGTGCTTAGACCTGTTGTCCCTTAAAGTCCTCAAAAATATAATGAAATTTTGTTCTCTCATCTTCCAAGATAGAAAATAACTGTGCTGAAAAAAAAACGCACAGAATCTGATCTTTAGACATGAAAGGGAGTCAAAAATGCAAAGAATAATCCCAATAATGTCCCTGTTTGACATATTAATGATTTTCTGTAAGTTAACAAAACCATACATTTTATCATTATAGGGTCAATGTTCACAAAAATTGAAACCCATTAAAATAGCTTTTGGTTAAGTGACCGTAAACTTTTTGTCTGACCATCCTAATATATACTGTACTCGTGTTCATGTCGTGCACAAAAGATAGGGCTGATTTCGGTACTTGTTGCTTTAATATATGCTGTCCGACATCCTCTTTTATTCTTGCCTGTAGAAGGAGAACTTCGAATTGTTAATCTGGTTTCAAGCTCATATATAGGCTATAGACGCGGTACTGCATGAATTTTTATTCAATTTTCAGACCAGCCCGCTGTGTTTACATGAAATAAGGGAAGTTTGACAGGTATTTTGGGATGGGTAAGGTAACAAAGCGTCGTGTATGTTTTGGTTGAAAAAAAAATTATGAAGATGAAAATACTGTACCGGGATTTTTGAAGGTTGAGGCATTGTCTCGCAGTCCAAGGACATTGCCATTTTTTCAAAACTGTTTTCGATTTCATTTCTGGGTCGACTTTTCTACTTTTGTGTATTTTAATTTATCCAACACGATTTTCAACCGATTTGATAGGGATCATAAAAATGGTGCTTGACTTGCACGAATATGTTCTATTGCTTTATGGAATGCATTCTTCTCGTAATGTAGAGTCGAAAAACCAGTGATTATTTAATTATTTCCAGATAGTGAACCTGGCCTTGGATAATGTACTGCTTGGAAAATGGATTGTTTGCTTAACATTTAAAGTTTAAGTGGGAAATCTGACTGTCACCATAATTTTTCCATTTATAGAGATGATTTTTATTTTATTGATTGGACCTTGGATTTGTTACTTAGTTTTTCAGAGCATTTTTCTCTGTATAGTGAAAACGACCATTTAAGATATAAAATAACGTTTATTACTAAGTAAGGTTTTTTTATACTTTGTTTAAAATTTCCCTAGTTATTTCCAACCTAAAAGGTAAGGAGTCTAAACACAGTGAGTCAATTACCACTTTTTGTATGAGTATGATGGAACCGATTGAATTGCAAAGATTCATGTAAAATTCACGTTTTTTATGTCTTTTTTATACATTACAGTATTCTACTTGGAAATGACAGTTATATATACTTGTAGGAGTTTCGCATAGTGGACTTCCCACTGGGACGTATTGGAAGTCCATTGACTGAGGAATTTTAATTTATGTATACTCTATTATGGTGCCTTGAAGTTTCTTAAATTTCATTTTTGTAATAACTATATACATTGACTTGCTGAAACGTAGAACTTATTTGTTACTAGAACTTTTGGATAATGTACTTTCCAGTGAAATAGATGCGTGTGAAATGAAACATTATATTTCATCAGGTGCCTTGAGGTATTAAAACTGTAAAAAAGGAGAGACTACTACTAAAGTAACTGAACGATTTTATATTTTACAGTACGTCAGTACTAGCTGTAAATTCTATCGCCTGAATAGTGGTTATATGACCTGGTCTACTTTCGGGTATAATTAAGATATTTTATTTTATCATTTATAGTGCCACAAGTTTTTAATTCAATTTTGAAAATATTATATCGACTCGTTGAATCCTATGAAATGTCGAAATGTTGTCGACTTTTATTGGAAAGCGGATTTGATTCGCCTTTTGAAGCGGAATGGCGAAGTCCAATTACAACTGTCTAAAGTGCTGTATTTTTTCAGGTGTCGCGGGTTTTTTCTCACTTTTGAGAAAACTTATATCGACTTAGTGCTGTTGAAAGACTTGAAATGGCGGAGAGTGAAGACTTTATCGACGACGACGTGGACGGCATTTTAATGCTGGAAAGCCATGCGAGGAAAAATGGACACGCGGCCCTTTTCTCGACTTCATCTCCGAAATATCCGAAACCAAATAATAATAATAATAATAATAATAAGGGCACCCCGGTGAAACGGATGTCCAGGTCCGTGTTGGCGTTAGACGCACCTGCTGCAATAACCGGGAACAAGGGCCAATATTCGAGACACTCGATCGGAGGCATCAGGGCCAGAGCGAATTTTGACATTTTTTCCTCTCTGATGATGATTTCATTGACTTGCTAAAATATAAAATGTCATGCAGTCATGATCGACATTTAAGATAGCGGACTTATCACCAATATACTGGACCAGATGAAAGCCCATGAATTAAGATATTTAATTTTATCATTTAAAGTGCCAGAAGTTTTTAATTCAACTTTGAAAATATTACATCGACTCGTTGAATCCTATGAAATGTCGAAATGTTGTCGACTTTTATTGGAAAGCGGATTTGATTCGCCTTTTGGAACGGAATGGCGAAGTCCAACAACTGTCTAAAAATGCTGTATTTTTTCAGGTGTCGGTGTCGCGAGTTTTTTCTCACTTTTGAGAAAACTTATATCGACTTAGTGCTGCTGAAAGACTTGAAATGGCGGAGAGTGAAGACTTTATTGACGACGACGTGGACGGCATTTTAATGCTGGAAAGCCATGCGAGGAAAAATGGACACGCGGCCCTTTTCTCGACTTCATCTCCGAAACATCCGAAACCAAATAATAAGGGCACCCCGGTGAAACGGATGTCCAGGTCCGTGTTGGCGTTAGACGCACCTGCTGCAATAACCGGGAACAAGGGCCAATATTCGAGACACTCGATCGGAGGCATCAGGGCCAGAGCGAAATCCGCGAAACCCGGTGGCAGGTCCATTTCTGCGGTGGAACCCTTCGTGGGCACGAGCAGCAGCAACAGGGTTGCCGAGTCTGAGTCCGGATCGGTGGTGTGCAGGAAGTTCAGTGCGACCCCTGCTCACCCGCCGACCCGTGAACCCGGGGTCAGGGAAGTGCCGGCTTTCTCAGTGCAGGTAAGTTAATTTTTACTGTACTGTACTGTGCTAATTATGTGGAACTCCGAGATAAACGTAAATGGACTCGCTCTACAGCGAATTTCTTTGTACAGTAAAAAATATTTAAAAATGATTTTTCGTATATTCTCTCATGCCTCAAATTTTTTTTATGGTCACCGGTCTGAATTTCGCTGTAGAGAGAAAGTAAAAAAAATCTGCCATGAACTTTAAAATTTCGAAATTAATTTTGTTCGAATGTGAAAATTCGTAGATTTATGTCGAGACTATTCTTGCGAAAAGATAAATCGGAGTATTTCGTTGTCTGGGAAATTAGCCGAGCAATTCTATAATGGATTTTTTTTCAATGCATTTCTAAATTTCAGAGTTTGCAAAAAAATGCCAAACCAAAGCCCCCACCGGGACCCAGGAGACCACCACTGGACCAAACGCCAAAGTCCACAATATTCAGAAAGTACTACCTCAGGGGTGATTTCCCATTGTGCATCCGCCATGATGCGAAGGGCAATAAATTGGACTGGAAAGTAGGATTTTCTTGAATTAAAAAAAAATATTACTGGCATTTTCAGCTCAGGAAGAATTATGAATTTCGAAACAAATGGATGGAAAAATCACATGCTTCCAAATTTTCTCTCTTCTTTTATTGCTCCAAATATTTCAGCATTCCTCTTGCATCTTCTCAAAGAACTTATCTTCAACATGCTCCAGGATACGTGTAAAAATGAATCACTGTTTTTGGAAGCCCATGAAAAGAAACTTAAAAAGGGTTTTTAATTAAAAATTGGTTCTATTGCATTTACGCAAGTACCAAACGCATGTTTTTTCTCAAATTTGAAAGGAGAAAGGGAATGAGGATCATGGGCATGTAACAATTTTTTTTAAATTTAGGTGTGCATTATGCAGTAAACAGAACTGGATTCTATAATGGGACATTTTTTGTCCAACACTGTGAAAGATAAACCTAATTTAATTTTATTAATTAAAAATTACAGTGGTTGAATTCAGGTTCAAATCATGTTTAAATTCAAACTGGGGTGCTATTATTTTTTTAATAGTGTGGTTTTATATATAGTCACAAAAAGTATGCTAGTATGATAATTCCAACCTTCAACATTTTCAAACCACTCAATGGTAACATTTTCACAATTAAAAGCTTCATCCTCTGAGAAAGTGTTTCCTTGGACGTCCCTGGAAAATCCTGTTCACTTTGCTTTTCATGAAAGAAGAGAATTACTATATACAGTACCTACAAATAATTACATTTATACAACCTCCAGATATTTATAACATGGATCCTATTCAATTTAGCATTTCGCAAATAAATTGAGGATTGTCCAAGATTTTTTAGTGCTTTATTGCAGGGGGGCTTCATAATTTTTTTTTGCTTCTCAATCAACATATTCCTTGCATATCATGGGTTATTAACATTTATTTTATTGAGAAGAGATATATCATTGATGGCAATAAAGTAAGTTTCAGTTAATATGAAGGATTATCTCACTTTTTCTTTGGAAAATCGCAAGATTTTATTTTTAGGCAAAAATCCTTGGGAATATATATTCAGTTTAAAATCCATCTCAATGTTTACTGTATCCAGTACAGTATGAGTATTAATGCTGTGCATTTTTTTTCCAATTTCTCTTCTCTGAAAGGTTCCTTTGGACGAAGTTGATCTGGCACATCTCCTGCCAATATTTTTCGAAGGCTTGGCTGAAGTGGAATACCCTTATGAATTTATTGCAAAAGCGGGAATCGCTGACATGGTAGAGAAAGGAGGTCAAAAGCTGCTCCCTGTGCTGCCCTATTTGATCCCTCCCCTAAGAAGTATGTATATATATTCAATCCTTGCTGATGGAAGGACTTTTTTTGCGTAGTTTAGGTGCGTAATGTCCGGATTGATTGAACGCAGGGGCTTTGGAAACCCGGCATCCAAAGGTTATGGGCACAGCTTTGCGAGTGGTCCAACAGTTGGCAACCTGCTGCCGAGAAATGGGACAAATGCTGGTCCCTTACTACCGTCACATCCTGCCGACACTCAACTCCTTCATCAATAAAAACCGTTAGTTCGAATGCCAGTGCAGTATTACCTATACAGTATATAATACAGTACTGTACAGTAAAATCTCATTGGAAAAAACTCCTAGCAGGGACCAGGGAAAATTTTTTTTAAATACAGAATTTTTATGATGCAGAATATACGGTATAGCTTATTATGAAACTTTTTTTAAATATTAAAATGGGTTATGACAGTGGAATCTCTTATTCTCTACAATAATCTTATTGTCTGCCGCAAATATACTCTCTTTATAACAAATATTTTTTCTGGTCCTAAAGGGTTCTCTCCCCATTTTATGTGGTTTTTCCACAACAAAAATCTTTCTACAATTAATTTTTTCTGGTCCCTTGCATTTTGTTGTAGTCCACCTGTAATTAAAAATTGTTCATGTGCGTTTTCATGCAACAACCAAAGGCATGGTTTCTCAAATTTGAAAACAAAAAAAGATTGAGGATCATGACCAGGTAAAAGTTTTTTTAAAATTTTATTTAGGTGTGGATTATATTTACAGTACTGTCTTGATTCTAATGGGAAATTTTGGTCCAACTTTAAAAGAGAAAACTAGTTCAACAGAAAGAATTTAAAATTAGTTGAATTCAGGTTCAAATCATATCAAAATTCAAACTGGGGTGCTCTTTTTATTTAATATTGTGGTTTTACAGCCACTAATATATTTGGATGGGCGTCTTACTCAGCTAGGGATGCAATTAAAAGAAGAATTTTGTCTGACAATATGTGACAAACCCTACTGCATGTCTTATATTGCTTGAGAGTTTCTGCTGTTACTTGAGGAAATAGAGTACAGTAATTAAAATTTTGCAATTCAGCAATTGAAAATTGTTTGTATGAAAATATTTATATAATTTACACCGTGGGTTTGCATGCAGATGCAAATAAATACAGGTATAAAACTTCCAGATATTATGCATGGTTCCTTGCTGCTGGTATCCATGGATAATTTTGTTGTAATTCAAAATTGGTTGTAGCAGGATTTATTACTGTGGATGAAGAATCTTTTGTCATTATTGTATATACTGTATAGTCCAATAATAAGCTAAAGTTTCTTTTTCTCCAGGAAATATTTATGATGGCATTGATTATGGCCAGTTCAGAGGAGAAAATCTGGGGGATCTGATCTGGGAGACTTTGGAAGTTCTGGAGAAGACTGGTGGTCCTTTGGCATTCATCAACATCAAATACGTCATTCCCATTTATGAGTCGTGTTTGCTTTACTAGTAAATTGCGTTTCGCGTGTGCTTGAACTTTCTTTTTGCGTATATACACATATTAGTTATTTCTGAACTTAATGCATGATGTGTAGCATAATGTGGTTATGCTGGTATTTTCTTACAAGCAAATATATTTGCGTGATTCTTGCAGCTAAAAATATGACCTGCGGACCTTCGTGTGATCTGCTGTGCAGCTGAAAATAAAGCATTCCCCTGCCTTTGACATGTGCTTTCATGAAGTGTCAATTATTTCTTTATGTAAGAGGCTGCTGCTCTTCGTGGTGTAGAATAGTGTATTTCATTATATAATCACGTTCAAACGTTCTTGAGTTTTTTTTCGTTTCTGCATTTTCAAGAGTTCTTGCTGAAAGCTGGTTATTGGAGATATAAACCGACCAAGAGATGGAAATGAAAAAAACCAATGCTTGTACACACAGCGCCGAACTACCGTATATGCCTATTACAGTATAGTGTACCGCATTCATCTTCAATTCTGCATTTTCAAATACAGTATTGTACATGTAAATTAGCCACTTACAACGATCACGCCAGATGTCGTCCTTGGAAGTCATCAGCTTGGCGGAGGGTTCGGAAGCCGGCGAGTTGCAGCCGACTCGCGCGCAGTTGAGGGATGTGCATTGCAGGAATCTCTCTTCTCGGTTCAGATGTAATTTCGAAGTGTTCGAGGCCGTATTTCGGCCGTGAAAGTTGTTCAATGCCTGAACAACTTGGCTTGATGCCGTGAAGTGGCTGCCAATTTTTTTTTTTTCGAAAAAATGCGGTGATTTGGAACAGCGTGAAACTTCGAGAATTTTCTGGTACATTCGAAGTTCGCGAACGCCGGGCACTGCCTGGAGTCGGTGTATTACTTCGTGTGCGTCATCGCATTCGTGAATGAATCTGAAGAGAGGGTGAAACCCTCGCAGCTTCCCAGAGTGGGTGCACCGTAATTGTTTCTCTACGTAATGGGTACTCCATCCTGCTTACGCGAATTTGCCGAAATCGTATTGCCCAATTAACAAACCTTGTTTTTCTGGTGCGACAGAAAATATCTCGTTTCATCTGTTTCTGCGCTCGGTGCAGTAGTCGTTCCCCTTGTGATTGTGCGCTAGTTCACGTGCGAAGAGCTTTGAAATCATGTCGACTGCACAACAAGAAAAGGAGTTGGGAAACGCTGCGTACAAGGCGAAAAACTTCGATGAGGCGCTCGTTCACTATCAAAAAGCAATCGACATCGATCCAACCGATATCACATTTTACAACAACATGGGTGCTGTGTACTTCGAGAAGAAATCCTACGACGAGGTTTTGAAATGGTGCGAAAAGGCAGTCGAAGTAGGTAGGGAAAATCGTGCGGACTACAAACTCATCGCGAAGGCACTTCTTCGTCTCGCGAATGCCCACAAGGAGCTCGGCGATTTGTATAAAGCTAAATCTTTCTTCGAAAAAAGCCTCTCGGAGCATCGCACGCCGGTTACGAAAGAAGCTCTCTCACACGTCGAAAAACTCATCAAGGAGCAAGAACGTGTGGCATACATCGACCCGAAATTGGCCGAAGAAGCCAAAGCGAAGGGGAATGAATTCTTCTCAGTCGGGAATTTTTCCGAAGCAGTGAAACATTACTCCGAAGCCATCAAGCGCAACCCAGACGACGCCAAGTTGTACAGCAATCGCGCGGCCGCCTACACGAAACTAATGGCATTTGATTACGCGTTGAAGGACTGCGATGATTGCCTGAGATTGGATCCCAGCTTTGTGAAAGGATATCTCCGCAAAGGGAAAGTGTTGATCGGAATGAAGCAATTCTCCAGAGCTGCGGATGCATACCAGAAGGCCCTTGAGTTGGATCACCAGTGCCAGGAAGCGATCGACGGGTATAGACAGTCGCTGATAACGAGTAGCTCCGACCCGGAAGAAACGTGCAAACAAGCCATGGCTGATCCGGAAGTGCAACAAATTCTTCAAGATCCCGCGATGCGTATGATATTGCGGCAGATACAAGAAGACCCGGCCGCATTGGGCGATCATTTGAAAAACCCCGACGTCGCATCTAAGTTTCAAAAATTGATCGAATCTGGCGTTCTCTCTTTCAAGTAACGTGCTTTTTTCCGCTTTCTCATGCTGGTATTCGCAGGAACAAACGATGTCCGTTACGAACTCGGTTCTTCCGAACTTCATTCTTCACAAGTGGGAATAAATTCTTTGCGGCACGTACCGAATGACCAATCATTCATTGGCGTTTTTGACACAGAACCGGAATAATTTGTGCAAACATCTGTACAAACTATTCCGCGAATTGTTATGCATTTCCCAGAAGCAAGATTTCTTTATAGAAGAAGAAGAGTCGCTTGTGTCTCATGCATTATGGTTCGAAGGTAATCCGTGAGGAAACATTCCTATACGTTGATATATTTTTTGGAAAAGTTTATGGCGTAAGGTGGAATGTCTCCGCAGCACAGTTTAGAAGTTTCAAATAGTGTTTTGTTGAAAATTATTTTTCCAGACAAACTGAAAATGAAAAAAATGAGGGTATTCAGGGATAAAAATATAGCAGGCATTGTTAAAGATCAGTGTGTGTCTTGAAAACACTAGCTCTGTTGACAAGTTAATGGAATTTGGGAGTTGTATGAATTTATACGACGTAATTGTTTTTTTTGTTAAATTCAATTTATCCGATGCCTGGAGATTTTTGAAAAATACCCCGTCCCAGCTATGGAAAGGAAACCAATGCAGTATCTACACGAAGTCCGGAATTTTTTTTTTCTGTGGAGCAAACTATCATTAAGGTTGGGACTTACATTTTCCTTCGAATTTGCGTTTTCTGAATTTCCAACTTGAAGATTAATTGACCTCTCGTAAAACCAATATGTAGCAGAATATAAAAAATATTTTCCTTCCTTTTCTGCCCCAAGCTTGAATTTGAAATCCTCTATCCACGTACAATCCTTCGTATCTGATGCTTTTCAGTGTTCAAATTACTTCAATTTTCCTTCTAGTTCCCTGGAACAGCTTGGAATCCAAGTGTTGCCTAGCCTCACTACCATTGTTACAAAAATCATTGTAGAAAGAGCCCACCTGTACATCCGAAAAGTAGTCAGTTCAGGTTTTACAAATGACATCTTGAACGGTTTCCGATTTATCTAATTTTATTGATGCAGCATTTTCCTGAATGAACGGATCAGTGGCCGTGATTTTCAACTATTCCAATTGTTGTGACTGTTTTTATTTCCAGAGGAGTGAAATGGAGACGTCGGAACTAATGTCCGATAAACCTTTTGGTGCAAAAGATCAGCATAAAATAAGTAAGCAACGCGCGAAAAAAGCCTACGAAGTCGGAGTTTCTCCCGGAAATGTCAGCTGTTCAAATTGTTCGAGCAACATCGATCCCAATAACCTGATGCTGCGTAGTTTATCAAAGGTTTGATTAACTAAAAAACCGTCCGATTCATTAATTCAAACTTTTTTCAGAGCTTTCTTATTTTAAATTTCAGTTTTCGAAATCTGCGGCCGGCTGGTCCCATGTTGTTTGTCTTCTGAGAGCCACGCGAAAAGGTGCGAAGAAATCCGAAATTGAAGGCTATAAAGAACTCGAATCGGAACAGAAGAAAGATCTGGAAGACCTACTAACCCGGCCGTTCCTGGATGAATTTGTCGTTGAGTACGCCAAAAGTTACGAGTCTGTATGTCGTGGTTGTGGCTCAAAAATTGCGAAAGTAAGTGGAACTAATTTTTTCAACGCTCATTATGAAGTAATTCCGAAATTCCGCCAAAAATCAGGGTGCTGTCAGGATCGGAAAACTGGATGATTCGTCGGAAGTCGCGCAGAAATATGGACCATCTTATCGATGGCATCACGTTGAATGTTTCGCATCTGCACGGGAATTGCTGGGCTTTTTGAAAGGTGGATACATGCTGTCTCAGTTCGAGAGCTTGTCAATGGATGATAAGAGATACGTGATAGAACAACTACCAACCATTCAGTAAGATTTTGAGAAAGTCGTACAGTGTGTGGTTGTCAGACTAACCGGAGTTTTCATATTCCAAGGCATGGTGCGAATGATCAGACTGATGAGCTGGACAATGATGAGAGTGTTGCCGATGTCTTAGCATCTCTTTGCTCCGTTGAGGCGGAATTCAACGAAAACAGCAAAGATGACGATTTGTTCTTGCAGATTGAAGACCCGAAGCAGGAACCCTCTTCAGTAACGGAACCTTCTTCAGGCATGAAAATTCTTTTTTAATTTTGGTATATACCACAGAGGATTAAGATAGATTTTAGAGATATTCCTTTTTGAAGCGTCAAAATCCGGAAAAATTGATGGGGAAAAAGGCTCCCTTGTTTTAAAGGAAGAAAATATGTAGTTCGTTTTAATTTCTAGCTACGGTACATTTCATGCTTCATTTCATTTTCGATTCTCTAACGGGTTTTGAAATAAGTTACATCAACTTTTTTTCTCCAAGATGTTCTTTGAAGTTGGGAATTGAGATTTTCACCTCATGTTCTATAAATTGATCAAGGCAATTTTGTCCGGATTTAAAATGTGCAAAAATCACATATACCTTGAATCCTGAGATCTTAAATTTAGGCTCAAAATTCTGAATTATTTGTGTTTCCAATGTTTACAAAAGTGATAGTCCAAAGCTTTTTTGATGTTTTTTCCTCGCCACAGCTCAATTTGCTCCTGTGCTATTGTGTGTAAAAGATTTTTTTTTTTTTTTGCCCCCCCCCCCCCGTACGTATCAAAAACAACCAATTTTTTAAGAATTTGAGTAGGTGTATCATATTCTGTAAAATCTTTGGGAAATAATAACATTAGATATTTTGAATTTTTTAATTTAGGTGATGCAAAAGAAATTACAGCAGTGCTCCAACCGGAAACTACAATTCAACTTCCAGAACAAGACCCTGAGAAAGTTGCTCTGGCAGAGAAAGTCGCAGCAATGGAAGCCCAATTAGCTGAACTTCGTTCAAAACTGACCGGAGGACCAGTTGTCGAATCCTCTCAGAAGTCTACCGAATCACAACCCGAGAATCTTTTTGTTTCTGCTAACAAATCGCGATTTGGTGACGACGCTGCGAGCCTCGTACCCGAATCAAACGCCGTAGTTGTCTCCGGCCCAAAACCTGCCTTGATGACTCCATTAAACTCCGAGAAACTGTCACAATTCAAGGAGAATACTCAGAAAACCGAAAAGAGCTTCGAAGCTTTGCGGAATGATTTGATGCTGTCGAGTGATGAGGAGGAAGAAATGCGTAATCCGATGGAGCAGCGTTACAACGAATACGGGAAAGAAGTGCGGAGAATCTCTCGGAAACAAAATATAGTTATTGACTACGAAGAAAAATTGGCGAGGATGAAATCGAAGATTTACCTGGATGAAAGCATGAATAGGAAGAGGAAAGGGTCGAATACTGCACTCGTCAATCCTGTCAGCGTTGACAATGATCTTGGTCCTGGGGGTTACAGCGAAGCGAAGACCAAAATCCGCATTGTGTAATTGATATTTTCTTTTTTGAAGGCTGATCAAGTCATACCGGCATAGTGATAATAATGCGGTACACCAGAAGATTCAAACGAGAAGATGAAATCTCAAATTTTTCCCTGTCCGAAAATTTATTCAACGTTTATGAATGCACAAGAAATTGACCAGATTTATTCCCATCATGAATTCAAGTTCTGAACTTCAAATTTTCCATTTTTCATTAGTTGTTATTGAATTTCGACTGGTTCTAGTACACGCTTGAGGAAAAATTCGCTTTGAACATTCCTGGCTGTTTCTGCAGAATGTGTAATAGACGAATTTCTCTCAGATTTTCTCAGAAAAAGCATGAGATCGTCCATTTCTCCGGATTTTGTGATTTTAAAAAATGCATGAGGATTCTTCGATAAGGGAACTTTCAACCCCGGGTAAACTGCTGTATTTTATGATTTTTTCCAGTTGCAGAGAGACATTTTTGTTCTGTATTACCGTATTTTCTGCTACATTAAATTTTTTATAATTTATTTCCTCAGAACGCCTTTGATTGGCTCGATACAACTGGAAACGATGTTGAAAGAAAAAGTAATTTACACGCTTTCGACGATAAAGATGCACCTGAGAGGAGGAAAAATCGACACTGATGGCGATTGGGTTGTCATGGGCGTTATCATAGGCAAAGGTCATCCGAAGATTTCTAAAAAAGTAAATTAAATTTTTTGACCTGAAGTTCAAGAAGCAAGTTTTAAAATGTATTGTTTTATTTCAGGGCTCCCAGTTTTCGGTGCTGAGTTTAAGTGACTTGACTGGAGACTGTACTCGAGTTGTATCAGTGATGCTTTTCGGCAGAGCGCATGAGAAGTTGTTCAAGCTTAATCTTGGAACCGTGATCGGATTGTTGAATCCGTCCATATTGGAGAACAGGTAACGTATTATATTATTTACAGCAACGAATAATTTTTTTTCCGACTGCCGTTTTTGTGCAGAAGAACACCATGAGAATTTTCGACGTTTAATTTTTGCAGGGATGGACGATTCGGCGTGGATGCGACGTTATCAGTAAGCACGCCTGATCGTGTTCTAGAGATTGGTCAGTCGAAAGACTACGGTCTCTGTCAGGGAAGGAAGAAGGATGGTACCGCATGCGTTGTTCCAGTTAACAAAGCAACTTGTCAGTTTTGCGTGCATCATCTTCAGGGAGAGTACCGCAAAGCTGCTGCAAAACGCCAGAGTTTGAACACCGGATTGAACAGCGTTGACCCGAAAAGGCGTTTTTCTGACAAGGTTGCTCAATTTTTTTTTACAGGTGGACGTGGACTCTCTCTATAAACAAATTTTTTTCTGGTCCCCCGTATGTCTTCAAAGAGAGAGAGTTCACGAATTTTGTATCATAGGGTTCTCTCCATGTCTCATATGGATTCTTCATAACGAAATTCAGGGGATTGTAAAAAAAAAATATGTTGTAGAGAAAGCTACAATATCAAACAAGAAAAATCGCTGTGACGAGTCTACCAGTATCTTGTCTGGTTATTATCGTATATTCGTTTGTATCTTGATGTTTCATGTTGATGAAATTTATTTTCTTTAAAATTGCATACTTTGCTCAGAAAGTCGTCCTTCGTATCCAATCTATCGCATTTCATTCGGGTATTGAAATATTTTAGATGTTGAAATATTTTGGAAGCCTCATGTTAGCTGAGATTTATAATTCTTGACCTCTTTTATCCTTTTAACATTCAAGATGTGCTTGGGCGGAAATGTTGTTTGCCTTGAGAGCTCTGAAGGCCTCGCGGACGCGAAGAGAAGGAAGCTGTCCATGAGTGGATTGGCCAAAAATAACACTGCCCAGTCGCTGGGGTCTGTGGATAAATTGAAGCACTTGAGCGACGCGGAAAAAACTGCTGTCACGAAGTTTCGGAAGTCTGACCCTGAACTGTGAGTTTGATTTTCTGTGCGAAAGTACCTTTACTATATTACAAATTTTCATGCGGACTTCCTTGGAGATAA